CGTCATTGTGTCTGGTTCATTGGCAAAAACTATTCTACCAGCAATACAAGAGACGATATCTAGTGTTATTGTATTCTGTAACAATTATAATAAATACGCTGCACTAGTTGAGAAATATTCCAATGTAACAGATATTTGTACTGACCATGAGACCTTGAAAAATTGTATTCAACGTGAAATTCCTTCATTGAAACTGAATTTATTTCGAAATCAAAGTTTGAAATCAATGAAATCGTTGAGTTCATCAAAAGATACATTCGATAATAGTGGAACCTATTTTTCTTATCTCTTATTCGTTGAATTACTCAAACAAATATCACCTACGAAACTAGCCAAAGATGTAATGTTGAAAAAATGTAAAGATTATTATCGCCGTAACAAGCCAGAACTTGAGAAAATCGACTTATTTCAGTCGACATACACAGCAGATAAAGCTATCGATTGGTACGTTCAAGATTGTTTCATTTATCGTTTAGTTAATCAAGCATTTCGCACAGAAGATGTGGCATTATGGTATGTATTTCGATTCTATATTGTCGATCTGTGTAAACAATTGGAAAAGGTTCATCAAGAACAACATATTCAAACTTGCTTAAAACTTTTTCGTGGTCAATCACAAATGCCAACGAAAGAATTAGAAATTCTTCGTGCAAGTGTCGGCGGATTAGTCTCAACCAATTCTTTTCTATCAACAAGTAAAGATATCAAAATAGCTCAACAATTCATTTTAGATGCTAAGAATAGTGACGATTTCAAAGTTGTCATATTTGAAATTGTATTAGATGCATCTCGATTGAAAACCACTGTTTTCGTTGATATCGAACAATATGCTAAGCAATCAAGTGAGAGTGAAGTACTTTTCAATATTGGATCCGTTTTTCGAATTCAAAATGTTGATTATGATTTTGAATTGAACGTCTGGAAAATTCAGATGGAAGCAACAGATGAAGGTACACACGATATTCGACATCGTATTGACATCATGCGCAAGAAGTTTCAAAGTGGAAGTATCAATCTGTTATTCGGTCGCTTGTTGTTAGATATGCATCAATTTGTTAAGGCCGAATCTTACTTTCAAATGATGCTTCGAGTATTACCAAGTCATCATGAAGATTTAGCTTTGGTCTACGATCATCTTGGCGATCTAAACATGCATGTTTCCAATTGGAACGAAGCCTTTCTATATTTGAATGCAGCTTATGAAATTAAAAAAGCAAAATTTCGACCTAACCATCCGAATCTAGCTATGACATTGAATAGTATCGGCAATTATTACAAAGCAATTGGCGAAATGAAAGAAGCTTCTCAGTTCTATTTGAAAGCTTTAAATTGTAAGAATGATCCACGAAATATAGCGATTACCACACTCAATATTAGCAAAATCCAGACAATTAATCAAGAATTCGAAAATGCTCTTGATTTGTGCATTGAAGCACGCGATATTCTCGAACAAATTCATCCACGACCACATATCGAACTTGTTCAATGTCAAGGCGTCATTGGTGACATTTATTTTGCACAAAAGAATTTTACTGTTGCCGAACATTTCTATACAGCAGCATTCGAACTTAGCAAGAGGTGTTTATTGATCGATGATCCCATTCGAACAAATTGTGTCAGAGCGTTAGCTGATGTCTATCAACAACAAGGTTATACGAATCGAGCGATCACCATTTGTCTCGAACAAATAGCGTTCAATGAAACTCATCTCCGCGAGAACCATCCAAACAATGCTCATCTTCTCATGAAACTTGGAGAACTTCACACAAACGATCATCATCAACAGCTTAACTTTCTCAAACGAGGATTGCACATCCTTGAGACGAACATTCACCTACAATATGCTGCAACATCGATATGTCTAATCATGTTAGCTCAATGTTATGTTCAACACAATGAATCAGATCAAGTCTCCGTGTGTTACATGAGAGCTTTGGAGTTACAAGAGAAAATTTATCCAAAAAATCATCCAATTATTATAGAAACACTCGAATTGATCCATGCTCATGATCCTAGTACGAGTTGATTATAGAACTGCAGCTCGAATTTTTGTAACCAATCAAATATAACGTATTATTCACTGTAGCCTGATCATATTTTTATTTTTTTACCTTTTTCAACAAGCAAGAAATCATAGTAAGCTTAGCATTGGTAGGCTATCGGATCTAGACGATAGAGTATATGTACCTATGATCAAATCTGTACGAGTGTACACATGATAAGAATGAAAATGCTTTATATGCATTCACTAAATGATTCAACCAAATTGAAGAAATAAATTCCTAGTAGTCTATTTACTGAAAAAAATCGTCTTGTGGCTGCTATGAAACTTAAAAAAGAACTTCGACTTGATTTTAATTCCGAGAACAATTTGTAATATAATTACAGTATACTTTGTATGAGTCATGTCGTGTGCATTTTCGTTATATGCACTATATGATACCTATGAATACGTCTTTCTGTCTGATATTATATAAAACAAAATTATTTTATAACTTATAAACGGCAATATTGTTTCGCGGAAATTTTGATAAAAAGTCAGAAAATGTACTAAAAATCAACGGAGTTCGATATAATCTCACTGAATAGACAGGCAGTTCTGTTCGTCCAACATTGTGAAAAGTTACATCGAAATGGAACACTATTTTCATGCAGTATTTTAATGCTTTACGCAGATAATGATGTATACAAAACAAATAAGTAAACAGTGATTCACAGTCGACTTTACATTGGTGAAATAATAGTGAAAAAATTTTTGGTCTTTGGTTCTGTTTGTTAAAATTTAATTATGAATCAATGCTTAATAATTTCATATCCTTATGTAATTTTTTTATGCTAGAATTTTATATTTACTTAAAGCAAAAGCTTTAAAAGAAATATGTTATTGTCTTCAGTGTGAAGTCTTAGAAAAAATTATCTAATATCCTTAAATGTCATTAGAAAATCAATAAACTGTAGTGCATTCGAAAGTAAACACAATTCTTTATCTCACAAGATATGAATTATAAAACCGATCAATTTAACAAATACTGATTTTTTTCAAAAAACGCAAGGGGAGCCCCTAAAACAAGATAAGAAAAAACAAAGGTTTTCAGAACAGTGAAATAAGAGAAACACACATTGCCAACAATCGCTTTCTTCGTTCTTAAAATGCTTTAAAAGGAAATATATAAAATTTTATGCAGTACAAACAATATTTTCATTTTATTATAGAAAATGATCGAATCAATGAATTCATCTATGCAAATTAATACGAAAAAGAAATATTTATGACAATTACTTTTAAATTACTCGTATACATTTAGAAAACGTGTAAATATCCTTCTTAAGATAAGAATAAAAAAAACAACTATTATCATTTAAAATATGAATCGACAAGTCCTCGATTGAACTGATAGTATTTCTCGTTTTTATGATTTTTCATCTCAAACACAAGAAAATGTTGCATCAATTCAAGGATTTGAAACGAATACAATTAGTATCTCTTCAAGAAACTGTTCAATCTCTTACATCTTTAGTACCAGACACTGAAGTTTTTATGCAGGTAATGAATTACACATTATTCATCTTGAAGAAATTCAATCGAATTTACCTTTTTTCCATATTCCACAATCATTAAATTATCCACTAGGCGAACCAAAAACTAATCAATCATTAGTCAAACTTTATTTCATACGATTTCATTACAACGTACAGCTATTGATTCATTAGGTAGTCTCGGCTCTTTATATGATATCAATCGAGACCATGTATTAATTAGAATAATTAAATATCAATGATGAACAATGATTATCACAATCATATCGAACAAGACAATGTCAAATTATAAATGGTATTAGAGATAAAAATCTAAATCTTCTTAAAATGATTGGTGTTCAAGATGAATTACGCTTAAGTATTCTATTGAATCTAGTATCGAAAATTAATATAGCTTTATTCATTGATTATGCTCATCCAATTGATAAATACACTCGTTTTTTATATTATTCATATTTGGAACGAGAAGAACGACTTTGTGATGATATATCAAATATACAAAATTCTATTCAATCATTGTTAACTAAAATGGATGCATTACTAGTATTACTTGGGGAACAGAATTTGTTGTTGTATTACAATTATCATCTGATGATGAACTTGCTGAAATGATTGATAATGTACTTAATAATATTCAAGCTATTTTTCGAGAAGATTGTCGATCTTCTAACCTATTATTAGAGGATGAAAATCTCTTGAACAAAATCATCGATACAAAAATCTATTCAAATATTCCACAATTGATGAACATGACATGATTAATTGATATTTGTCAATACAAAAAAAATGCATGATATCCATCGTTCAGTCATGTATACACTTCAATCTATTGAAGATTTATTTTCTCAATATAGTAAATCAGAAATTATTTTCATTTTTCTTCCTTTACAATTGATGAATAAACTTGAAGAATATTTAATAGAATTATTATCTAAAATGAAAAGTTTAAAATATTCATTTGATTACAATGTAAAAAGATTATTAGGTAAATATCTTAAATAGGAACAACAAAAAAAAAATTAAAAATCAATGGCAAAATCTAAGACAAATATATGAATATGAAATTGAACGTATTCGAAATTTAATTTGGAATATTCATATTGATTGAGATGATATTTCTCAAATTGAACATGTATTAAATGATAAAAATTAAATGACTTTAACAAATTGTTTTAGACAATTTCAACAATATATTCATATTCTTGAAGCTAAAGGATATTTCATTTATAATGTAGCAGAACATTATATTAATCATGATGATAATGAACAATCATTAGAATATAAATTAATTATCGATCATTGACACGATCGTGTTCTTTATTCAAATGATACTTTGACGATAAATAAACAATCAAAAATTTGAACAACTATGTTATCAACTTATTAGAGAACGTAAGAAGAATTCGAATTTAAATCTTATCTATGCTGATTTTTCCTATTGTTCTTTCGAATTACATAATATAATGGTATTACCATTGAGAAAATCAAATAACAACATTAATACAAAAAAAAAGCATAGTCAATCGTTTTCATTAACAAAACCACAATTATCATCTTCGAAAATCATTAATATTCTTCTTCTTGATGAAACAAATGTTGGTAAATCAACTTTTATCAATGCTTTTATTAATTATATTCAATATAAAACATTCGAACGAGCTGAATTAAATAAACCTATTTTTCTTATATCGGTATCATTTTGCATAAAGATCAACAATAATTATGAAGAACATATTACAAGACATAGTGATTTTGATAATTCAAATCAATCAGTAACACAATATTGTAAATCACATATATTTTATTTTAAAGATAATGATGAAATAAAATTACGTTTTATTGATACACCTGGTTTTGATGATACACAAGCTAAGATCAATATGCAATATATTTTAGATTATATTAATAATTTTTCATATTTAAATGTTATTTGTTTTCTAATTAAATCTAATATAGAACAAATGAATAATTTTTTTTTTGAATATGTCTTACACAATTAGTTGATTTTCTTAGTTCAAATACATGTAAAAATCTTATCTTTTGTTTTACTCATACACAATCATCGACTTCATTTAAACTTGGAAATACAAAATAATTACTTGAAACAAGTTTTAATTCACTTTTAATGAATGATATTCTATGTCGAAAAAAGATAATACATTCTATTTTGATAATGAATCATTTCGATATTTAGTTGCTGTAAAAAATATGGAATTCAATTCAATGATAGCGAGAAAAAGAAATATGAAAAAAGTTGGTCAATTTCAATAATAGAATCCAATCGATTATTTGATTATATTTGTAAGAATTTCATAGGTTGTCTTATACCCGGAAAATTACAATTAATAAAACATGCTCAATTTGAAATTATGCCTATGATACGACCTATGTTAGAAACAATGCGTAATATTCTTCAATATATTATTATACCGCATATGAATTCTATAGCAAAATCTATTGAAATACATCTTAAAGTTATTCATCGTCTGTCTACTATTTGTCTCATGTGTAAACCTCAGGTTCATCAAGTTGGTGACTTTTGGATTGTAAATGATATTCCACATGAAATCCAAGAAATTTGTTATACTTGTTCATGTCCTTTCAATCAACATGTTCCAATAGATTATCTATTCAAATACGAACTTTCAAGTCACTCGTTCAATATTGATCAATGTCAAGCAAAGGAATTATTATCGAAATTGTGTTATGCTAGTGCTGAATTTCCTTTTTCTTTTCTTATGTATGCAGCATGTGTATCAAAAGATGATCTATTTGATATTGTACTAACAAAAATGATTGATGAAGAAAATAATATTTGTCTTAGTCAAAATGTAAATCATTTGAATTTACAGTTAGTTAATGAGTTAAGAAAACTAAAAAGTAATTATGAAATCCACATAAATGATATGAAGAATAATCATCAATAGAGTTCATTACCAAATATTTATAAATGGATTCAAACTATTCGAGAATATTCTATGATATATGAACAAATGATAGCGATAAAACAAGTACAAGAAATCATAATGAAACAATATGAATATGAAGTACCAGATATTGTCAGCAATTTATAAATTTATGAAACGATGATGATTTCAAAATTGTTTAATTTGTACTTGGATTCTTATTGTTACATGTTTTATAACTCGGAGCTTTTTATTTTGTATCATTGTAAAAATTTACAAAATCAAGATGATTTATTATTTTAAGAGTTTTTAGTGTTAATTATGCGAAGAACTATACAAAAAAAAACAATTAGAACAGAAGTTGCATTTACAATTTTGTCATTTGAAATAAAGAAACTATTCATTTTCTAAAAGTCAAGAAAACAGAAAAATTATCCTCTTTGTTTATTCAATTCATTATCTTTTATCATAATTCATAGCGCAAAAGTATTCGCTCATTTTTCTGCAACTAAAAGATAGATACTTTGAATAAGAAGTTTTTGATATTTCCGAATGTATATTCATATTTTCTTTCGAGAATAAGAACGAGCAACGATCAATAAATTTTGTGAAAAAGTCAAAAATTGTATATGTATAAAGCAAAACAATTGTTTTTGGCGTAGCTCTTCGTTGACATTTGAGAACTGATTCTACTCAATAGTATTGTAAAGCATTGAATTCTGCACAAAATGAAATATTACATAGGCGAAATCTCATCTATGTGTTTCTAGTAAAAAGCTGATGTCTATGGAAAACGGCGTGAGTCTGAAAATCTGTGCTGAAGAACTTGTTTTTAAGTATATAACAAAAAGCATTTTGTATTTTGAAATTGAAAGGTTTGAATCGAAATACAAGATTGACTTAAATAGTAGTCTGTAAAACTTTTATTGTAGATCTTTTGAAAATAAGATTGATCATATCGTCAACATATCATAAATGTCCTTGTGATTACATTGATCATTGTATTCGATTTATATTAATAATCCCACGAAAATTTAAAAAGTTCAAGAAATGAGTCTTTAGCTGGTAACAATTTGATTACAGTGTTTTCAAGTGTACGAATAAATTTAACATCATGATTAACATGCACATTATGTACTAGTAAATGACATGATTTCATAAAGTAAAAATTAATAATATCATGCATGTTTGAATCATGATTAGCAGTATTTTCACCTTGTAGATCAAATTTTTCAGCAAAGATACGTTCAAAATAACGTACATTGAACAAAAGTGAACCATTATAATGAAATCCGATTCGAGCTAAATAAATCAATAAATTACATCAGTGTTCGAACAGATAAAATCTTACGCAATTTATTGGTATCTGCATCTCGATAAAGCTTCATCATCATTACTGGTTGATCAAACACATTAGAGGCAAGACCACTGAGTACAATGGCTAGTTGTCGAACTCGATTGAGCATTGAGTCAGTAATATGCATATTTTTTTCCGTATAAAATGGAATACCGTGAAAATGATCTTTGTAAATTTCTAAATTAATATTCTGTAGTGCTTCACAAGGTTCTCTAGTCGTTCTATTGTTCTCGATTTTATTGTTTACTGTGTAAAATTCCACGTTATTATAGGGTTGAAGCACTTGTAAAACAGTCTCTTCAATAGTTTCAGGCGTAAGCAAATCATAGTCTGCATCGTCTAACGTAGAATCAGTAGTTGTAGCATTAGACTTTTCATAGCTACTCGAACTTGGTACTGTACTAGTATTCGGCTTGCTTTTTCCAAACCGTTTGAGACCGGGATTTCCTGATTTTATGTGTTCTTCAGCATCTAAACCACTTTCATCCTGTTGAACAATCGGCATGACTGGAGTTTTTGGTTCTACAGGAACTAGAGCAAACAAAATATATTGCTGACTTTTCTATATATATTTTTTTTTTTGAAAAGAGTGATACTCACTATCAGTTGGCTTCGGTGGATTGATGCGCAATCGATCAATAGGATAACCAGATCGTTTAAGTTTTTCCAAAGAACTTTCAAGTTTTACCTGAATTCCGTAAATCATGTCTTCGGTCACTTCATCAATTATAAATTGACCTAAAGTGCTCGCAATATCCATATATTCTATTGTAGTTTGATTTTTTATATGCAACACAATTCCATTATCGGAATATTCGATTGAACATGTTGTCATATTGCTCTTCTACAAAATAACTAGTCAAATAATGTAAATCTATATAACTTACCGAAAATGATTTCTCTTGAAAGGTCATGTGACAATCAATACTGTCGACTTCATAAATGATGAGACTTTTGCGAAGCAATTCAAATGATTTGTCCTTTAGTTTTGGTATTTTTTCACCCTAAAAGAATGATATGATAATATATTGATGTGCATCATTTTTGATAAATAAACTTGTTTACACGTTTATTAACGACCAGTAGATCCAGCCGATCCGAGATCAAACTACATAGCTTCTTTGATTGATTGGTTTGATGTGGGTGACCTATTTAAGTTATTGGAAAATAAACCATAAATCAAACAAATTTATATAGTTTTTTAGAAATCATCATAATTATTCAAAACAGACATGCATAAATGAATCGATTTAGATCATATGATAAGTCGTTTCCATAAAACTGTTGTGTAACAATAAAGACGGGAACAAATCTTTATGTATGGTATAAATGCTGTGACGAGTCATAAGTTTTTTAAGTCAAAGACTCTTAAGTTTTATATAACTATGATAATATTCAAGTACGCATAAATACTCTTTGTGTATCGATATGAATTGACACAAGGATTTTTCGAACAAAACGCTGCAATTTACTCTTGGAAAGAAAAATGTCTAGCTTCTATCTTGTCTGTATTAGACATAGCATGCTTTATTGTGTACCTTAAGTTACTTTTTGACAAAAAAAGTAAAAACTCATTAAATTTCAATTTAATTTATTCTTCAGTAGCTATTCAGCTAAGCAATATTAGTACTAAAAATTACCATGGTGAAATACCTGTGAAAATACTATATACGGAAAATTTCAATATAGAAATGATGATACCTTGAAATGAAAACTTCATCTCAATACAGTCTCGTAGCCATCTCGATCCAAATTTGTTGTATAAGTGATTTAAATTTGGATTAATAGGAGAACATAATGGACGGAAATAGGATGCAATATTGGAGTCATCAACTAGATAAATATCTTTGGGTGATGCAATCTGATAACTCTGTTTGGTATTTTTATTATCATCGTTGTAGATGAATCCAAGACACCATGGCTCATTTTTGAGCCTTGTGATCAACGTTTGGTCTTCAATATCGTCGTTATTCTTTGTGGAAGCTGCCAGACGTGCAAGACAGTGCAAATATGTGCAAGTTTTATCTTCATTTGAACGTCTCTCATTTCTAAAGAAATTCGCTTGGCGGTCTAAAAGTAACTTAGCCAGCGATGAAGCTGATGGCTGGTCCGTGACGCCAATATTAAGAAGAAATGAATTGCCACAAGGGCCGAAATCTACATAATCAATCAATCCACTGGTATCGATTCCAATAAACCTTTCTGAGTGTGTTCTCTGAGTTGAAAATTTGTTTGAACCAATAAAGACTTCAGATGGTTTCCTTAACTCACCGGTGCCTAAAAACTCTACTTCAATAAGTATGAATCATAACAATTAGTACAACCTTGAAATGGAATGAAAGCTAATTCTGAGACGTGCTGTTTTAATTCTGTCTCCATACCGCCCAAACTACTCATAAACGAAAAAATGACGCAAGTCCATTCGAATGATCTAAGAACTACATCTTTTCTTTCCATGAGTATTTCAAAGGCTTCTTTCAATGGTGGTTTATCTCTGAGACCCAATATTGAGAGATCCAAGTATTTCTTAAATAATGTCACTACTTGTGGCAAAGGACAAGCACATAATGGATTAGAATCTAAAACAGAAAACAATAACGTTAGAAGCCTAATCTAATATTTAAAAAAAGTCAAACTTTTAAAAATTTTTTCGATAGGCATCAATACTATACTATTATCGTTACGATTACCACGTCGAGCAGTCGGATTAGCTGGCCATTGAGCGGGAATGAAGGCTCGTCGATTTGTTTTTTCTTTCCAAAGTTTTGGATAATGCTTTTCAACATTTTTGGCTAAGAATTCAAGTGATGGCGGTATGATGTATGATGATCCACCGTGTTCGAAACGTTGTTTCTTAAAATCTTCGTCAATCATATCAATGAGATCATCAAGCTTAGGAGCTTCACGTATTCCAAGCGAACATAGAAAGTGATGGATGTTCAAATCATGAAAATCATCAGGCCAAAATATTATATGCACTGTATTAGATTTAAGTTGGTGCGCAGCCTCTGAAAAAAGTAGCTCGTCAGGACGGAATAGACCAACTGTTTCGTTTCCCGATTGAATTGTTGTACCTAAGGGAACGAATAAAGTATCTCTAAGATTAGAAAAAAATAATCATGTTTCCCATTAACTTCTAGTTCGATTGCACAAGATTAACAACTGTTCTAAGTTAATGTGCATTTACCTGCAAAGCATTGAGTTTGTTTCAATGCTGCAATATCTTCTTCACTCATAGTTCTATATGAATCCGTCAAATACTGAATGAATATTAGAGCGTTTTCTTTCATTGACTTTGGTGCATTCGATAGAGTATTTTGATGAGCGATGAATGATTGTACATGAACTGTTCGACATCCAATTAATTTCAGAAATTCAGCTAAAACACAATTATCTGAATCATTATTGAATTGGATACTACGACAGTCATTGACTCGCACTCCATCTTTACTATTTGGATTCATATTTGGTACGACATTTATAGCAATTATAGGTAAGTCAGGTGATAATATTTGTGATCGAATGTAGGATTCTTTAGGTAATTTCATTCCTTGTTGTGTTGGTATGCATTCAATTTGTGACAATATTTGCTTCATTCGATCTTTTTGAGATTGTTGAATACTATTCCAATATTTTGAAATTAAATTAAACAGATGCACAACTTTATTTTGATCAGTTAAAAGATGTTTTTGGTCATCAAGAAAATAAAAGTTTAATAGATCATCAAATGCTAATGGTGTTAATGATAAATGTTTATTGAAATCTTCGTTGGAAATATGTGTAGCTATTCTAGAAGGTATAACACTTGATGGTAATGGTAACAATGGTGATGGATTAATTTCATCATAATGTTTTATTTTTTCTAAGATTATAATTGGTGATTTATCTTTATCACGAAATCGAATAGTTGAGAAGATACTTTCAATAAAATTGCTATTATTGTTAACTTCAGTACTACATAACCAACGTAATAATGCAATAAATTCATTTGATAGAAGAATACAAGTTTTCATAGAACGCTTGATAACATCATGGTTAACTTCTTGTACTAATTGAAGTCGTTTAAGTTCATTGAATAACCCATTATTTGAAATTTCAAGTGGAACAAGTGGAAGTGAAAGAAATGAATGAATGTATTGTGAATAAGCAAGAAAGGCTTTTGATGATTCTGAAAGAGTCAATCGTGAAGCTAATGTTTGTTGTTTTACAGGCACCAGAACGTTTTCCTGCGAAGCGAAAAATCCATTGAGGAGAGTAAGACCTAAAACAACAATTAAAAAAAATAGATTTTCGTCGTGTTCTTTTTTTCAACGAACCGATTTTATTATTTGGAACCGAAGTTTGAAATGAAAATGTTGCGAATTGAGCAGATAAACTATGATTAAGTTGATCGTTATCAAATATTGATTGATTATAAATGAAACGAACCACTTGTCCCATTGCTGAAAGAAGTTCTTTATTCCATTTTTCTAAATGTGGATCTTGCATATCAAGATTTTCACGTTCCACTGTAGGAACCAGATGACTAAAGACATGCATTCCAAGACCTGTAGTTTGTTGCGTTCCAAGACCAATGAAGACAAGACCTGATGGAATAATTTGATTTTCATGACACTTTAGAGGTAATAATGAATGAAGAATTTGAGTTTCAAGATGGGCATCATTCAATGAGATATTTCGTAGTTGAGAAACAACCTAAATGTTATCGATCGCAACATCTGATGAAATCAAATGAGTAGTTAATCTGACTTACATCACTTGGTGCATATAACAATTGAATTCGAACATTAGATGGAAGACTTTTCTTCAAAATACGTCTAATTTGATTGTGAAATTCTTCATCAATATTTAGTTTTGCATTAACATCAATATGCATCAAAGTTATTGATGGACCATTGGCAATGGAAAATGTTTGTTCTGTTTGTACGAATGAGTTAAGAAGAAGCATATTTGATATTGACTTAATATTGAATGTCGATGTTTCTTTTGTTAACGAAACGATTTGTTTTTTCTTTTTATTAACTTGAAATACAGTTAAATCGTTGACTTTCATCTTGACTTCATTGATATGACTTGTAAATGAGAGTACTATATGAAGAAAAACACAGTAATTTTCTTAAGAGATATAGAAGAATCTTAAATATAACTTCTGATCAAATTCATCACTTTGTAGAGTATCTGATGATATTTGAATAAACTGTTGCGTCGTATTTTCTATGAATACGACTGCCTATAAACATGAACGTTCATTTGGTCGATGGCTATAAAATTTTGATATATCTATATAGTAGCAAGAACTAGAATGGACTTCCAAAAGTGTAATTAATATAGGTTGCAGCTCTAAGCCTATGTAAGACTTCAAATTTTTAAAACATAATTTTATATCACAGTTAGAATTATTTACTTCTACTTAAATAATAAAGTGAAATGGCTTTCGGAATAATCGCTTGTTCAAGCACTTGAACAACAAATCTGTATTACGTTGTTTAACTATCAAAAACTCTTGAAACCTTAAACGTCTCTGCCCTAGCCAGAATAGAAATCGCTAATAACTTGAAATTTTCAGTTAGTTACGAGCAGATTAAAGTAAGTTTTATTTACCTTTCGTGAAGTAAGCTTTCATTTGAGATAAATTGATTGTTGGGATGACTCCGATTTTAGCTGCACTTGTCATCTTTCCATTAGTTGCTGATTGAGAGTAAGATTCATCGTCTCTGCCAGTCAATGCTTTTTCAGCATTAAGAACATATTTACTTCGCATTTTTAGAATAATAGAAGTCAAATTAGATTGTTGCGTGCTGTCTAATTCACAACGATATGTTGTCAATGATTCATCATCTCGCCAAGTAAATGCCATACATTGTTTACCTGATACAATGATTGGCTCTTCTGAAAATGAAAAGACTGAAAAAAATCCAACACCAAATTGTCCCACTGATTCAATATTAGTATTGCCCTCTGCAATTGATGCTACTCGTTGCCAATCGGTTTGCGTAAAGATTGCTCCATTATTAACTGCACGAATTTCAGTGATAATATTACTGTGTAATGTCTTTTTTCTTGAATCATTCGATTCGCATGTTAGTTCGAAGGAGAATGATGTTGCTTTAGCATCATCTGCATTTTGAATAAGCTCTCGACAAACAACAAAATCTGATGAATATCGAGCGAGTATTTTATCGATTAGCATACGATGATTCACTTTAACGACGAATTCAGAGCCATGTTGTTTAGCTTGAGACAGAAGATTATTCGATGAAAACATTTCTAACATAAGTTTAGAACGGTAACTATCGCAAGTTTTTTTAACAAATCTAAAAAGATAATAAAATCAAACAGTGGTTCAACATATGAATATAAAATCCTTAAACAGTCATCAATAACATATAAAAAAATGCAATTGAGATTCAGCTTTTTTGTCAGTTCATACATAATAGTTTCATAATAAATTTGTATAACTTATGAGTCTTATCCGATCATTGTAGCCACTAAGATTGATCAATATTTGCCAAGGTAATGGACATTTACTTATATCTACTGTCATCTTTTGTGGTTTATTCATGCGCTGATTAGTATAATGAAGTGTTTGTGTTGTGACATCAATTACAAGTTCAATGATATCATTTTCCAGAAGATTATTATATGTAGAAAATATATCATTTTTTTTTCGCGTCCAACCACCAGCATAAGAATGATCTTGAGATACCCAACCATAAGATGTTAAAGATTTATAAGAGTTTTCTTTCATTGGAGTAGTTTTAGAAATTATACCAATGAAAATCCATGTAGAAGATTTTTCAATTTTAAATCGTAATCGATGTTTACCTGATGT